AATTTCAGTAGAAAACAGATATTCATAGTGCACTGCTTCAAAATCTCGAGATTCTGAAGCGTCTCTTCTGAATTAAGGACTTAACCATCGTAATTTTTGAGAGTAGCGATCACGACAGTGCCTGAAAACAAAAACCTAATCTCGTATGCTCCCAAATTATCTACGATAATCTTGAATCCGCTCTGCTGATATGTTTTTGTGATAATTTTTTGATATATTTTCGATAATCCGCTCTGATAATTTATTTGTGATTGCTGCTGTTCGAATCAGTTCAATCTTGATCCAGCGATTTCATCATATTTTTCCGAAAATAATCTCTTGAATGGGAATTTGGACGGCGGGTAAAAGTATCAAAATAAAAACCTGCATCGCTGTTTTCGATGAAAGTTTCAAATTACCGGTGAACTGCCTTGTCTCCATGTGACATTAGAAATGGTCATTTCCAATTATTGAATGAAGCAATTGCAGTGGCTCTGAAGAAGAAAATTTTGATCACGCGATCACTTGTGCTAATCACGGCATATCCATGACCCTCTCAACCCTTCTCCCGCTTAGGAGATGATTGCAATCACATGGATATTTCACTTCTTGTCAAAATATTCCTTCGTTTGTCTTCCACGTCTCCTGTTTGAGAACACATCACATTATGAACATTGCACATCGATTCTTGAGCATTGGGCGAATTCGCATGCAATTTCCATTACCTTAACCCAAAATTGTTGTGTGATTTAATCGGAGTTACCTCTCAGTGATATTACTTGAGTGTATGCCAGAGATTATATTGCGATGAATCCATTTCAGAATTTTCAAAAATGAGAGACCGCGACGTAAGTGACCGCTACATTCGCAAGAGGAATCACCTGTACCGCGCGTTTTATGGAGTCAACGGCAACGAGGAGACCCGGCTCCACGGGGACATCCAGGAGACCGGGGGACATGGGCAGGTATTCTGCCAGAATCTGCTGCAGGTGCTGGGAATTCTCTCGTTTATCCCGACCCTGCAAAATCTGGAATGGTGGGTCAGGAATAACTGGCCGCTCACACTGAGGCAGCCGCATCCCCGTCAGGGGATCCAATCAATTCGTAAGTTTTGTAATACTGCCTTTGTTATGCGCCATTCTTTCATTTGTCTTCTAATTCATGACAATTTATAGCGAATGCGAATTGAAAACTTCTCCAAAACGAACGTTTTCAAGCATGAATTCGCACATATAATAAATAGTCAGAATGCGGCAAAAGAATATTTCGATGACAATTGAACATAGACTAACAATAGGATGTACTGATAATGATGGTACACGCAATGATTGTATGAATCCGAACCTCTGGCATTTGATATAGTATGATGGAGCATTATCTAATAGTGGAACTGAAACTTGATGAATCCGAAATTTCATTAGTGAAAGAAGATACGATAATTGATGAATGAGCGATCTGAAGAATGTGCCTTGTGACTGGGGAAAAGTTGTACGGAAAAGCTCTTTTGGATGATACCTTCTAGCCATCTTCTATATACTTTGCAAACATTAGATAATTTTCGTGTTATTTTAGTCAGAGCGGCCAGGCTGGGGGCGCCCTCCCCCCTACTCATCGAAGCGATATGCCGGATGAGTGATATTCAGCTCCTGGTCGTCCTTGAACAGGCCAGGACGCTGAGGTACGGCGTAGCAGGCCCGATATATACAATCATCAAACGGGACGATGCCTGCTACGTCGTCCCAATTAGTTCTCCCTCGACCCAGGTAAGACTTTAATAATTAGTCGATTTTCAGCCATACATTTGTGATTATTTCTATAAGATGATAGCTGAGAATAACTCGATTAATCGAAAAGCGTTTTCACGGATAAATTCTCCAATCAATTTGATTAGTGGAATTTGTCAAAATCCAGTCTTGAAATATTCGCATCAGTAATAACTTGGTGAATTTCAGTACGTCGAGACGCAGGAGTGTGTTGAGGAGATGGAGGAGTATGAGGCGGAGGAGGAGAGGATCGACGTAAGTTATACTGAATGATATTTCCATTGAGCTATTTCAGCAATAACATATGATTGTTGAGGTTATTAAAGAGAAAACTTTTGGACGTTTCGAGATTTCTGAGATCAAAATCAATCATCAGGAACGATGAACATGATGACTATTCCAGAAGACATGATATTATTCATCGCTCTACAGTGTTAACTGAGAAATGTTATTAGGGACACTGTGAAACGATAGTGCTACGGAAATGACATTTATGAATAGTATAGATAGCAGTAGCGAAATGAACACACGTTTCTGGCAGTAACAGACTCTATGTTGACCTCATGGAATGGAATTCTTAGGTGATTTTAAGCGGATTCATGAGGACTCAAATCAACTGAACAGCAATTTCAGGTACTGGCGGAGAGGGAACACTCACCCGGCATGGAGGGCCCCGCCATTCCAGAGCCAGAGCCCGAGGAACCCGAGGACCTATTCTTACCATTTAACAACGACCCCCTACCCCTTCCCCTACCCCAGCCCCTGCCCCATCCTCAACCACAACCCCTACCCCTTCCCCTGCCCCAACAACCACAACAACAACCCCAACCTGATGTCGAGATGGGGGCTGCGCAGCCCCACTATTACGAGCTGTAAGTTTCAGTACTGACTCTAAATTTTCTTTGTATTCTGTTCGTGATCATATAATCGCTAAAACAGCACTGTAAATTATCTGATGAATATGTCTGCTTATTGTTGGATAAGTACTCGAAAGTGCTGGTGATACATAGGACGACGTATAATCGATAAAAACAGTCTGTACTAACAGAGTAGTCGGTTCGACTGGCTAAAATTGTTGAGACCAATGGAACGTAGATGGATATTTGAATATTTGATCATTGAAACAACGAAATCCTAATGGCAAATTGAACTGGAGTAGGATCTGAAATGACCATTCAGATACAATACCTAGTAAGCGTAGAATTATGTAGTTTGGAAGGCATCTTGAGAAGTAAATTTTGATGGGAATGAATCTTTTATACATCATTGAGACAGCGTTTGAATCATCGAAAAAAACAACAGATCATTACAATAATTTCAGGCGCAGCCGCCGTGTGAGGAGACAGCCCACAGCAGCACAACCACAGGAGCAGCCGAGGCCACAACCGCAACCGTTCCGGCCGCACAATATCGAGGAGCTGCGGCCGGAACACCGCGTCGAGGTGGCGGCACCGGAGCACGAGGCTTATCACATATGTGATCAGCAACAAATTTGTAAGTTGACTTAAGATGATAGCTCAGTTCAAATGTTATTCAATCGCCAATGTTAAAGAGATATTCATCCAATAACAATGATTCGAGTAGCGAACGATATTTGATAGCACTGAATAATGCGTTCGAAATTGAAGTATTGAACGAATACTTTTCTGACGGAGATAAACCCTCTAAAGTATCATCAATCCATTGATGTATTTCTGGTTGCTCTGAATTCACGTCAATAATGGCTTTCTATGATTGAGAGGGATACTTTCACATGCTCCATGCCTTTTTTCAATTGAATTCGTTTTAGGGTGCCGCTTACCCAACTGCTCCAGGCCGCAGCAACCCTTCAAGACTGTTGCGGCTTGGAAGATCCACGTGCGGAGAGCCGCATGTCATCAATTGGAGAGTAAGTTATCATTTCACCTATCTCATTTGATTTTTTTACTTCTGCACTAGCTTTGTCCGGTCAGAATATCAGTAGTAAGATTTGGGTAACATTGATAAAAAATCGCTTGATATGACAACAATTGAAGGTAATAGATGCTCTGATAGCTGATCGATTCATTATTATGATGTAGTTACAATTTCATTGTCAGCATAAAATTCAACCTAAAATGAGTTTCAGCTCTCTGCACGTGGTGTGGCCACGTCGTGATTCTGCCCCCAGAGCACCTCTCGGCGGCCGACACCAAGGCCATCATGGACGATCACCGAGCCGAGAGGTGCGTTGGTGCCTCCAAGAGGATCAAGGAGGCACGTATCGCCGCCTCCGAGCGGCTGACGATCCTGGGCCGCGATGCCTCGCACATCGCGGTACCAGAGGAGGCCGCAGAAGAGGCTAGTGTGCCTAACCCCAGAAAAAGGCACCTAGCCTCCGAGGAGGCGAGGAGGGCAGATCAATGCTGCTCCTACATCAAGAGGTTCAAGGAGGCCCACCCCGATATCTTGGCCATAATCGGGGTGGAGCATCAGCTCAACATTTCGTAGATGGAACGTTGCGAGAGGGACGGCGGCGATACGACAGTTCAACGACAATTGGATCTGTGATTTCAACACGCGAGAACAACGCCAACAACCCAGCCAGCAACACAAAACATTGGTTACATTCTTTGGCATGCTTTTACAATTTCAACAACAGAGCCAGTAGCCTCATTCAGGTTACACGAAAACAATCAAAAATAATGGCTAGTAAGAATTAGAATGATAGCTGAGAAAAGATACTGAGTAACAATTATGCAGTGAGCAATAAATTGACTTAAGTGTTAAGAAATAACTAAGTAAAGCGAGCACATTAGCCGTAGGTACAGGGATGAGATATAAATTTGTCTGTTATTATCATTGGGTATTACTAATGTTTGTATCTTTTTCTTCTTGATTGATGTTTATCAAAATGTGTCAGTATTATTTACACATGTATCGGAGCATTTGCTCATTTATTTATTTGTGCCAACCATATTCTCATTTTTTCTTCTATTTCCTATTACTATAACATCATTGAATGATCATATTATGATACTTTATCTCATCCTGTTCTCTTTTGTCATATCATATCTTTCCAATATTGTAATTTTATCAAGCAATCCGCCAGTTAAACACACCTCGGGCTCAAGATCAGGATCCATTGATTAAAGTGATTGAACGAAGTTTCGGGATAATATTTGATAGTTTATGGATATCATTTGTCATCAAAATCTAGCCAATTAATCGATTCAATTAGCGGAGTTTCTCGTTAGTGGGAACCGTCGACAAAAAAGCTCGGCGTAGGACGGTGACCATTTCGTTAGGTAGGCTGAAGAAAATGCCCTCTAAACTCCTTCCTGAATTTTCGGGCATTCCACTTTATCCGAGATAAGAAGGAGCCATATGGCGGTCATGCCAGCTCCTAGCGCCGATAATGGAGGGTTATATTTGCCATAGGGGTTATATATTTTCAATAATATAATTATCAGTTATTCTCTTATTACATGGGTTCGGGATTTATACAAGAAGTACTTTGGGTTATGTTTTAAAGTACTTCGGGTTCGGAGTGGGAATACCTCCATTGGCGCTTTGCGGGTTCGGGAATTTTCATTTTTTAAGTTATAGGTCACCAAACGAAACCGAA